AGTCCCGCATCGGGCTCCCTGCTCAGCGGGGAGTCTGCTTCTCCCTCTGACCCTCCTCCCTCTCGTGCTCTCTGTCTCTCATTCTCTCTCTCGCAAATAAATAAATAAAATCTTTAAAAAAAAAAAAAAAGTAACAATGCACTTTACACCTATCGAGATAGGAAAAACTGAAAAAGACCAATGTCACTTATGGCTGGAGGGAAATGGCCATTCAGACATTGCTAGTGGAAATGTGAACTGACACAGCCTTTGTGGGAAGCAATCTGGCAACATCTGTAAAACTAAACGTCCATATATTATCCAACCTAGCAAGCCCACTCCTTGGACTCTAGCCCCCAGAAAGAACAGTACTCAGATTTGAGAATGTAGGCATAAGGATCTTTACATATGTTTGTTTCTGGGGATCAGAGTCCAAGGAATGGGACTGCTAGATTGAATAATATATGGATGGAAGTATTATTTGTACCAGAAAACCCCTGAAATCCAACTGAATACCCTTCACGGAGGTAGGGTGGAAGAATTCTGGTCTCTGCAGCATGAAATATAATGCAACTGTTTAAAAAAGAAATAATTAGAACAAAAAGTCTCAACATTAGCTACATCAGAATCACCTCGAGGGCTTGTTAAAAAACTCAGCTGGTGGGGGCAGGGACACGGGACAGTGGAAACAGGAGCGGATTAAGAGGTACAGAGTAGCAGGTAGAAGATATGTGAGTCACAGGGATGAAAAGCACAGCATAGGGAATACAGTCAATAATACTAGAATAACTTTGTATGGTGACAGATGGTGAACAAAAAAACAGATTGCTGGGACCCATCCCCAGAGTTTCCACTTCAGCAGATCTGGGGTGGAATCCAAGAATTTATGTTTTTTGAAATTCCCAGGTGATACTGCTCATCCAGGCACCAAACTTTGAGACTCACTGGTTTAAGATACTGTTAAGTGAGAAGAGTGAAGTGTAAAAAATATATTTAATCTGGCCAGATTTTTGTAAAATAAACAATGACTTCCAAAACTATATACATATGCATATATGCACATGAAGAAAAATCTGGAATTTTCTGAAATATATGGAATAATAGGAAATTAAAAATATAGTAATATAGGCTTACTTGTGGACACAGAGTAAGAGGATGCCACCACAACAGTCTGTATATATGTCATGGGATCACACGTTATGCTTTCATGTAAAATTATCTGTGAGCAGTATGTATAAAGGAAAAACTAAAAAATACGGAGTTTCCAGCCTTATGCTCCTTTACCTAAAGCACAGTGACAGGGAAAACTACCACACCCACCACTTTTTTCGGGCATGAACGTACCTGATAGGAAGACACAGGAGATGGAAGGTACGGGGAGAGTGCAGACTGAGCAAGCATCCTGTTGGGGGTGATGTTATAAGGAGCCGGGTAAAACCTGGAGGAAGGAACCTCATCAGTAAGGAGCCACAGGAAACCACAAGGTTAGGGCCCCACTGACAGACACAGCCACTTCCCACTAGCTGCTATTTAAAAATCAAGATGAAACATCCCAGTGCCTGGACAGGCCGTTGTCATTTTCGGGTAGCCCAATTCTATAAAACACCCTTACCCATTCTGAAGAGCTGTGGTGGGGTCATAGGTCAAGGCCATACCACCCTATAAAGGAAGAACACAGTGTTCATAATGCGAGCCCTCGGGGGAGAACAGGAGGAAGCCCAGAGTGCCAAGACTGGGACATATTTGATTCAACAGATTAAAGTCAAGTCTGGACAGGTCCTACTACAGCCATTCCAGAGTTTTCCTGGTTGTGCAAGCTGCAAAATCCCACTAAAGACCCACACTGAAGATCATGTTAAGCAGCCAGTCATCTCTCAGTTACTGTTAACTCTCAAACTTGCCGCTTAAACTCACAGGAATCGGGCCCTGGTAAATTCCATTCCATGTTAATGTCCTTAGTACTCCTGTCTCCTCAGAGGTCCTCTTACCATATCTCCATTCCTTGGCCAGACCCGTCCATTTTGCATGTATTTCCCTTGGTTCTGTCGTTTCTTTGGACCACCATCAGCAAATTTGCAAAGCAAGGGATCAGATGGGGCTGCCAAGAAAGAAAGACACAGTTGAGTCTCACCCTCTGAGTCCACTCACACTCATGCAAAATGCCTCCAGAATCTTCACTGGAAGTAACAATCTGTGGCTCTCTCAGCCTGATTCCCAGATGCCTCACCTGGGACTCCAGCAGGTGTCTTAATATATTTTCCATTAAAGTGGGTGATGATGGCTTCACACTTCTCTGTGGACTCCATCCTAAGGAGCACAAGAGGGGTTAGGCTCTAGCTTCTCCAGGATCTGCACTCCCCCTACATTCAAAGAGAAAGCTCTAAGTTCCCAGCCCACAAATACTCCAAAAGTTGTGACTATAGAAACACAGTTTCCTCCACACAAATTCAAGGTATCTTGAAGAGGCAACCCTAGCTTCTAATGAACGTTCCCTCAACTGGCTCCTGTAGGGCTCCTGAAAAGAAAAGTGAAGCTATGAATATTCCAAAGACACTGATGGATGGGCCTACTATTAGGTCTGGTTCTTAAACAAGAAACAAGAATACAGGGGCACCTGGGTGGCTCAGTCATTAAGCATCTGCCTTCGGCTCAGGTCATGATCCCAGAGTCCTGTGATCGAGCCCCACATCGAGCCCCGCATCGGGCTCCCTGCTCAGCGGGAGGCCTGCTTCTCCCTCTTCCACTCCCCCTGCTTGTGTTCCCTCTCTCACTGTGTCTCTGTCAAATAAATAAA